GCTTTGCCATGACGTACTGTCCATCAGGAAGGACAGCCTCAAGAGACAAAACTGCGCAATCAAAAGTCCCGAACTGGAAAGACGAAGATCCGAAAGTCGCAGTGGCAAAAGCGTCCGCTACAGTTGTGGCCCTCGAAGGAGCAATTACGGTGGGGATCAGCCCCTCTATCTTCGTCAATTGAACTAGCGCCTCCATGGTGACATTTGGCTCGACCGAAGCGATGAATCTGTCTCGATCAATCTCTACTACCTGGTTGAGGCCCAAGAGCTGACTGGGGGCACTACAGGGTACTTTCTGCGCAAGACTGAGGCCTACTTGATCCCGAGTAGCCTGCCTCATACTCTCACATATCGCGTGAACGGCTCGTCGATGCCTTCCCCATAGCTCGTCATTGTACTCCATTGTAGTAAGGGATAGCATCTGTGACGGCTGGGCTTGTACGAGTAAGGAAGCGACGAACCTGAGCACGCTTGCAGTGAGTGCGCGGCGAGAGCAAGATAAGAACACAGTCAGTAAACGAGGACATGATCACCTACGGATCTTCTCGCTCATGCCATTAGCCCTGGGTAAGCTCCATCAAGGTTTTGGCAGGACTTTGGATCGCTCGTTCATTGTGACCGTGAGGGAAGGAGACGACGTGGTCACACAGCCAGCATCTATCCCATCGCGTGTACTGAATGCTAGTCGCACGGCAGGCCTGTCTTATCGACTCCTTTCCGCTACGCATATACCGGCCATTCGACATTCCTCAGCAGGTTCATTGGCGATGAGAAAGTCCAGGACTGCTTATAGTGAGAACCATTCATAACCGTACATCCCCTGCACGGCGCTAGTACCTGTCAGGGAAGTAACGACTATGCGCTTTGAACAAATGATGTGCGCGAACCGGAAACCAATTTTGGTCAGCACTGTACCACTGTAGGTATCGCGGGCTTATCCACAAAAACATGATTTTCCACTGCTTCACGCATGGTCTCTCTCCCGAGTGCTCGGCTTCAGTGGATGCGCTGGCCTACAATCATTAGCGATTGCGGCTTCACCCCTCCACGCAGATGCGCAACGGTTTTGCATAGCCCCACCTTCTGTATATGGCTTAGCGCTAGATGTTCGCTGCAGAGTAGTCTATGTGATTGGTCATTCTCCATCTAATGATGACTGCACTTTAGAATACACTCTCATGCAGTTTCCGCTTTTTGCATGCTGCCTGGCTTTCATCCCACACGATCTACCGTCTCGATTCGTGAGTGCTTGCCCAAAACATCTTAGATTCTGTAAGCGTCTGATTTCAATTGGCTAGGAGATACTGTTGTCTCTACAAAAGGAACTGCTGACAAGAGCTAGCGCTCTTCGGTCATTAGGCGAGAGTGGGATGAAAGATTGATTGCTTGCAAGAACCGGAAACTGCAAGTGCATGAGAGTTTACGGAGTCATTGCACAGTTCCATGCAAGGTCTAATCTCTCCTTGTCATTATCACTCTAACTATGCGACAGAACATACTGTGTGTGCGGAAGCAGTCGTCTCCACTTGCTTCTGTTACCGTGATCGTTGTTTGGAAACCCCCAGAGTAGCTGTGTAATTGTGCGTTGAATCCATTCTTAGAGCCGTCCCTGCACCTGCAGCCTCTTTCGCAGCGCATGATGGACGAGTCGATGAACATTGAGTGCTGACTCAGCAGGTCGCCCCGTGGCGAACACATACCTGTCAAGTACTTTGATGGCATCTTCACTGGCCCGTGGCGAAGCTGCCTTTAGAAGATCGAGCGGGATGTCATTTAGATCTACGCATGCAGCAAGCAAGAAATAGTCTGCAGCGATCGCATTAACATGGCGGACTTGGCTGATAGAGAGAAATAGTGTAGCAGTCACAGTGATTTCCAGACCAGATCCCCGCAGCTTGCCTTCAGACGAGTCATCGCTGTACTCGAGAGCTGCTTTTTTGTGCTCAGGTAGCTGTGCTTGGTGCTGCTGCAACGTCATACTACTAGCGTTCATGCACGCTGCCGCTTGCACGACTATTGATAGCGTAGTAGTGGTCTGGTCGTAGCTAAAAAGCTTTGCTTCGAGTTCGGCGAGCTGTGATTCACAAACCACGAAAGACTCGTTTTGTGAGAATGGAATGACTGATGGTGCGCTGCCGCTTGCCTCTATCCCGGCCTGCAGTCTCCTTCGTGCAGTCTCCTGTCCGTCGCCATACGTAAAGGGCATCGAGATGCCAAGAACTCCAAGCAGGCAGTACACGATGTCTTCTTCTTCTGTTGTTATGCGATTCTCAACCCACCGCCTTGTTCACATGTGCTGAACTGGTCTAAAGGACAGTTTCACAGTGCCGCGAACGGAATGCTGGTAACATCGTGTAGTAGTCGATCAAGTGATACTTTGTCACCTACTTGCTGTCCTTCGCGCAAGAGGAACTCGACTAACACTGGCGGGATCAGCTCCTGGAGCCTCCAACTTCTAGTGAACCAATCGCTCCCCCAAAAAGATGCCTCCTAGCTGCTGCGCTGGAACACCTCTGTCGCAGAAGATACTGAGACATCTGACAGAAACACGTAGCATCGGACCGCATTCCGGTACCACTGAAACATTGAGTTGATCGCCTTCGAGCACTCGTTGTAGACCCACCTGTCAATGCAGCATATGTCGATCTAGAAGTACTGCAGCCCGTCCCGAGCCGCCTGTTCGGCGCAGAACCTGAGCTTCCAGTAGCCTTCTTCTTTCTCTCTGTAGTTTCCATTTGATATGTCTTCGATAAGAGTTTCGAAGGCGCTCCATCGGTGCGATAGGATAGCGTAGGGCGGGATCGGCTTGCCGCGAAAGTCTATCAAGATCAGTCTGCCCAGCGCGTCAAAATGGAGAAGCCGCATGGCGCTTGCAGCTTGGGGTTTGTCCTTGGGTAATTAGAGGCGCAAACGACTTTTGTGGTAGTGAGATTAGAATAATATAGTTGCGACAAGGCAGTGAAGGCAGCCTGGCGAGGCAGTGCATGCAACCAGGCAGAAAGTGCTGCTGGCTACATCAAGCGCCCAGCATCCTGTGCCGCCTCGCCTCACCATCTGCGCTGAGGTAGTGTTTGCCTTGTGAACTCAAGTTAGAGGAGTGCACAAGTGGGCAAGGTGCCAGCAGATAGAACAGATTTACAAAGGTTGTCGTTGTAGCGTCTCGCATGGTTCTTTGCGACGGGGACGAGCAGGACTAGGGAAATGGCTGCCTGCACAGCCGGATATAAGAGCTGTCTAAGGCCTGGCAATTAGTGGGGGCCGTCCCAGCCACGGCGCACAGTGCGGCTCTTAGACATCTCAGCACTCGAGGAATACGAACCTCTTTGACACCGAGCGCTGACCCAACCTGCTATTGCATCCTTATCCAACAAAAGCATCTGCACATCTAATCCATTCGGCGATGCCTGAACGTTAAGAAACATGTCTAAGTCATATTTAGCGGTTCGGAGAAAGATGAGGCCTGCGACTGAGGGCGAGTCATCAGCGTAGCTTGTCGGCAAGATCTATCACTAGCCTGGTGATCTGAACGAAATTCGTAAGCTGTGAAAATGCAGATAAGAGCATCACGCGCAGAGTGTAGTGTGCCTTCCAAACCTACCCCAACTGCAAATCACTGAACTGGGAAATGTAGACGGAGTAACTACTATTGTTATGAAATTCATAATTGATATTTTCTTAGATCTCGCCGTTCATTATCTGCGTTGTAGCCAGCCACAACGTATCACGTTCAGCGGTTACGGTTGTGCAATCCATCTATCTTTCTCGTAACCAGCCCGGGTTGAATGGAGTCGGCGCACTGTGTGCTGAGGAACCAAGCCGCGATCCTAAAACTCTTCTCGTCGTTGCCGTTGGCCAACTCCAGAAGCGCGTCCAGGCCCGTGTCCCCTCCGGCGGCTTCCGCCTTCGCGACAGCGACGGCACCAGCGACGCTTTCCGCATAGGGCTTGACAAAAGAGGGCATCGCCATCATCCCTGTGCCCTGCCCCGGCCTGCCTGGATAGTGGTTCTTGTTGTACTTGAAGTTGCCCGATTCGAAAAGTATGTCGGCCACTAAGCTAACCCTTTCCCTGAGCGAGGAGATTCCATACGTTTCGAAGGCCGCGTTGATAGCTCTTGCTACTTGCGTCGCATCTGTGCACTCCTCGGGGAACTCTGCGCCAGCGCAAGAGGCTGTTGTTGGTGCTATGTGAACGAGGACCTTATCCGTCAGGGCTCTGTATCAGCTGTTGTCTTCGGTATGGGGCGTGGAGTCGGCGCACAGTGTGAAGTCACTGAGAAGAAGGGTAAGTACACCATACTTCATGGTGAAGAAAGTACGTAAAGGAGTGTGTGGAGAACGCTTGTGTCGCTCACGTAAAAGTAAGGATTGTAGAAAAGAGTGTCGTGAAGTCTGGGTATGAAGGAGCGACTGCGGGTTAGTCCTCTCTGTCTAGCAGAGATACCTGTATACAGACTTGTCAATAATCAAGCCGATCGGCGGCTTGATTGTTGACAAGTCTGCCTATATAAGGTTTCTAGAGGCTATCGGAGCGACCTTAATAGAACTGTCCTCCCAAAGTGATTTGGCGACGCATCAACTAATGTGATGTTAGCGGAAGCACATCGTGGGCGGATTCCCTTTCGCATATGGCCCCATTCCTGCTTTTAAGCAGACGCTCCACTGCTGCCCCACTTTCTTAGCATTGTCATGGCGGTACCTGCAAACGCCTACAGTGCTGACCGAAATCGGTTTCCGGTTCTTACACATGATTTATTCACAGCGCACAGTCGTTGTTCAGGATACTTACCTAACAAGTACTAGCGCCGTGTACACAGTCCGCAATAAGCAAGTCAAGCCGGCTTAATTGTTATCGATAGTGGCAAACAAATCTAATAAATATCCGTGCATGGAGACACGTCCCAGAAAGTGATCCGATTCCTTATTAATAGAGGCTTAATTAAGGCTTTGACTTGCTTGTTGCGGACTATAGCCGTGTAGGGGCTGTACGGTTATGAATAGTTCTGAGCGCGGGTTCCGACAACTAACTCTCTTTGCGATTAGCTACTTCTACCACTATTGTGAGATGTTGGATCTATCAACTAATTAGGATGTTTGAATACAACGAAGAATCTACGTACACTCACATGCACTTGCAGCTTCCGCTTTTTGCATGCCGCTCGCCTTTAATCCCACGCAGCACATTGGCCCACTTAGTATGCGCTTGTTCAGGAGGGGTTAGGCTCTGCAAACGTTGGACCATTTGGCAGAATTACGCGTCTAATGTCGCTGCACAGCCTGTCTCCGAAAGCTGGGTTACACGCTTCCTCTACCGACACGAAGACAGGCTCACATCCAAGTGGAGTACTTCTATGGACCGTTGTGGGGATAGTGGGTGCTTGAAGAATTGAGGATTGAACTGAGGTGGTATTGTGTGAGGCTACGAACTGTATATGTAGGTGGGTGACCATCAACAGCACTAGCCCTTAATAGGCATCGCGCCTTTACCATAAGTGAGTTGCGACTGCAGAAGCAGAACAGGAGAGACCCCAAACCGTGACAGTTACTACTATCGATCAGTGTTGTAGTGAATACAGTCAATCAAAGCGTGTCCGCGCGAGGCAGTAATCAGAGTATATTTTTTATATTGTGTCTTCTCGTGTTCTGTCTGCTCGCTTTTCTACGAAGGCAGCAGCAGGGTCTGTTTACACGATGTATCACCATCACGTGGCACACGTGATCCGCTTCTCCTCATAACCGCCACAATCAGCCTCCTTTAGATACTCCTGTCCACGCGCGACGAACCGTCTCAGTTAACCGCTTGGAGGTCTAGAAAGAAAGCCTATATCTTGAAAATCAGGATCGCAGGCTCTAGGGACCAACTTAAGGTGTGGAATGTGGCTTCTAGCAGTTTCTCTATACGGGCAGCAAGATCGCTAAAACTCGTCTACACGGGCATGGCGTTATGGATGCTCTCGGCATGCAGTAGCGTGCTCAGATATCTGCGTATCGTACCATACTGAAATACGCGCTTTGCTTGCCTTGGGCAAGCTCGCAGAATAGATCGCAGAATCTCGTTAGTGAACATAAGAGACACAATATTACTAACATCTCTTGTAGGTAGACAAGGGGTCAAATGCTCAGTAGGTGTAACTAGTATTAAGGAGCGAGTATGCTACGCCACGAAAGATTAAAGCAACACTAAAGGAAGACAAAGTGCACTACTTAGTAGAGGTCTGTAAGGGGTTTTTGTTGCTTAATTATAGAGAGAGGGACGGGTCTGCAACCCTGCAGTTTAAAGCAGGTAACATAGAAGCGACATTAAGGGGGAAAAGTAATTAGACATGCAATCCTTTGGCGCACTGAAACTTAATGTTTCAAACTTTTAATGCCAATCTTGGCTAGACCACGTGACAGTCTTGATCTCTTGCTTGTAGATGTTACTGCACCACTATCTAACGTGCTAGGAGAACAGGCAGGTCGACGCTGCTCTTGTGTCGCGCACAGATCAGCATAATGTTGGTCGCACACCAAGACAGTCGGATGGCCCTTTCTAAGGGCGGTGTCGTACCCAGCGGATGCCCTTTGGTAAAGAAGTAAAGACTCATCGACGCGATGCTGTTTCGCAAGAAGATGAGCTAGGTAGTACACGCTCGTCAAGGTGTCTGGATGCTCAGGCCCCAGCACATTCTCTCGCCGCGCCAGCGTCTGTCGGTTCATCGCCTCGGCCTCTTCGTACTTGCCCTGCTTGTCCAGCACTAGCGCCAAGTTGCTCATGCTCGCCAGGGTGTCTGGATGCTCATGCCCGAGCACCTTCTCCCTTAGTGCCAGCGTCTCTCGATGCATCGCCTCGGCCTCTGCGTACTTTCCCTGGCCGCCAAGTGCTTGTGCCAGGTGGTTCATGCTCGTTATCGTGTCTGGATGCTCTTTTCCTGACACCTTCTCCCTTAGTGCCAGCGTCTCTCGATCTATCACCTCTGCCTCTGCGTACTTTCCCTGGCCGCATAGTGTATGTGCCAGCATGCTCATGCTCGCCAGCATCTCCACGTGCTCCTTTCCTAACGTAGATTCTTGTCTTTTCAGCACGTGCCGGTGAGCTTTCTCTGCTGCTCGATCCCGTCCCAGCACATGCTCCCAACGTCCCACCTGTTTCAGCAGTGTTAATCTACCTTCCGACTCTAAGATTTCATGAATATCCGCGACACATGTAGCGTGTGGCAAATATGGCATCCAGGACTTTCTTAATCTAATTTCGCCAAGAGAGAGAACCTCTACTAGCCGCATCATTGTCCTCTCGGCCCAGCCAAACCACTGGTCATGAGCCTTTAGCCAACCCTGCATTGCTAGGTGCACTAGGGGGTGGACGTTTAATGCCGCAGTTGATTTCAGTGAGTGTTCCTGCTGTTCTTGCGCTTTGTGCCTATCTGCTTGAGGCTGTCGCTCAGTGATGAAGGTATATGCTTTCAACGTCCCTATCGCCTCAATCTGTTCCACTTCCGATCCCTCGATTGGTAACATGGAGAGAGGTATGTTGTTGTTTGTTGTACATGCCATAAACGACAAGTAGCCTGCAGCTACTTTGTCATGCTTCTGAATCTGTTCAAAAGAGATGTACCACGTTGTAGCGATAGCGTTCTCAATCTCTTCATATCTGCTTTGGTCCTTGAATTCTTTACTAAGAAGCTTGCCTGCCTCTTCCTCGCTCGCTCGGTATAGTCGAATATAGCCAGAAAGCGTACTATCGTTTCGGTTGATAAACGCTACTGCCTGGACGATCGCAAGAGCAAGGAAGGCGAGCATGCCCAGAAACTCGCGGACCGTCACTTCATCCTCAACTTGATATTGTTGTTCGAGAATCAGGCGTGTTCTTACCATTTCCAATGCTTCTCTCTCGCTCAGCTCACCCAGCACTATAACATTATTCTCAGCCAGGTCGATTGCAGCCTTGCGGGTCCGGGTAGTAAACACGATGGAGCCTTTGCGGCTGTGCGGGAGGTAGTCAATTAGCCGGTCTCCGCTGCGTCCTTCCCCGACTACTTCGAAAAGAACGTCGACGTCGTCTGCGTTGTCGACAACCATCAGCCACTGCCCAAAGCCTTCGTCGCTCAGTCTCGCCTTGACGAGCTGCTTCACGTCAGCCTTGGCGCCGGTGATGCCCGGTATGCGCAGCAGCCGTCCTATCTCTCGGTACGCTTGCTCGAAGCTCTCTCGGCTGACCGCTGGTACCCAGAAGATGGCATGCGCAGGCTGCTGCTCTCCCGCCCGATAAGCCGCCTCGAGAGCAAGGGCTGTCTTCCCGCAGCCGCCGAGGCCATATATAGCGAGTCGGTGGCAGCCTTGTAACGATATGTGTGTACTAAGCTGGGCAAGCTGAGTCGTGCGGCCGACAAAGGACTGTGGTCTAGGTAATGGGACGAGCCATAGCACTGTTCTACATTAGCACACTGCGCAACGTGTCAACTGCTAACAAAGGACTACATTAATCCACTGCTATGCTATAGAAAACACAATCTGCAACTAGATAGAGCTACTACTGACCTTCAGGTTCCATCTTCTTTACTTCTCATGGCTGAATTTTGCATAGCAGCTCTCTCGTAAACGCAGCCGCGTTGCCAGCCGCGTATGACCTCCACATGTCGCTCTTGTGCGAGTCCGCATAGTTGGAGATGCCGCGGATGACTAGGCATCGTCTGTTCGCGTCGACGCCTGCCGCCTCCATCTCCACACAGAGCGCCCCGTCGCATCGAGCCCTGATCTGGTCCCGCAGCTCACCATCGTGGATAACCGCATTGCCAGTGGCAATCCTCCCTCGATGGAACACGAGCGTGTGCTGCTCTTCCTCGCTGCGTTGGGGTCGCTGGACGAGCTCGCTCGGGTCGCACGTTGTGCAATTCGATCTATAGTCGCCGGCATGACGGTACGTCGTCTTGAAGAGTTTGTCGTGTTTGAGTCTAGGGCGTGTGAACTTCTTCTTTGATTTGGACCGCTGTAGTCTCGCAAGCTGATCTTCAAACGTCGTTTTGCCCATTTCGTAGTCCACCGCAAGGAAGCCGAGCGCGTTGGTCAGCCTCCAGTCTGGGTTTCCCATCGTGCCCACCATCTCAAACTGTCCGTCGACTTTCCATCTGCCTCGCTCATGGTAGACACACGCGGGCTTGCCGTCGCCCGGCCATCCTACCACCACGTCTCCAAGGTGGACGTTCTCGAGGGAGTCTTCCGACACAGCCAGGCCAGGAATTCCGCCTCCAATGCCCACAAGCACTGCCATGCGGATGTTGGGAAACGTCTTGAACATCGACCCCGTCAAGCGCCCGGCGTTGACGTTGCCCGTCTCGCCTGGTGGACAGGTTGCGACGACGACTGCATGGCCGCTGATAGTGCCGCAGACGTAGGTGTTCTCATCGTAGTGCGTGTCGTACAGCGGGGTGGGGTACTCCTCGTCAAGCATCAGGCGCGCAGGCAGAAGCTCAATGTCGGCGACAGGGCAGATCCATGCTACGTGGTAGTCGGCGCAGCTAGTAGGCTTAGTGCCGGCCATGTTTGTGTAACTGCAACTGAACACAGCAGAAACAGGAGGCGATGGCAGGCTGCTCCAGCAAAGATAAGTGCAGCAGGAAGGCATGGTCGCCTCAGCCTGGTCGCCTCAGCCTGGCCATCTCGGTCTGGCCGTGTTAGCCTGGCCGTCTCAGCCTGCTGCGCATATTGTGCTATAATGCTGCAGTGCTATATGGCGGCCTATGAGAGACGCTGTCTGGCGGGCTGCGAGGGCCGTTCTGGCGCGACGCTGGGGGCGGCTACGCGTGATGAGGCGGTTACGCGAAACTGGGCGTAGGGGACGGGATCTAACTTATGGTACCGCAACGCGCACTTTGCTTTCGCATAAGGTTGGTTAGCTATCTAGGAAACCTACTACAAGCGTATCTTAAGCGCGACCTCGTACTCCCAGTTTAGAATTAAGTCGCGACATCGTCTACGTCTGCTCATCTCGGCGCATTCCCTCCAAGGTCCTCCTTAATGCGTCGAACCACGGGAGGCGTACTCGGTCAAAACAAGTCGTAACCATCCGAGACTCTGACGACAGCAGCGCCTCCTCTGCTTCCTCCAAGTCTGAATCTGAGTCATTGCAAAACAAAAGGATCCAGCCCGTCGACCTGCATGACGTCAAGATGGACGACGCCTCACCGGCAACAGTGCCCGAAAAAGAGGATGTAGATGCGTCCGATGGTCGGGGCAATAAACTCGACTCAATTAACCACGACGACGACAAAAATGGCCTTCGTCCGAGTAGTAGTTTCTTATTCCCCATTCTCGTCGAAGACGACAGCATTCCACACAGTGGCCCGTCTCTCTCCCAGAACAATCCTTCATTACGGGAAATTGTTCAAGACAAGAACAAGATTGTCTTTATAACGGGTGCTGGGATCTCTACAAGTGCTGGAGGTGAGTCACTAAGAGATTGTGGTACGTTCGTCTGTTAACCCTCCTGGTAGTGGACGACTTCCAGAGTCGCTCTAGGACCAAAATGTCCAGTCGTAATATGTTAGACATCTCTGCTATCTGGTCCGAGGAATTTCTTAGTTGGAGTCGTGCTCTCTACAATATATGCTCGAAAGCACAGCCCACTCCCTTCCACCACTTTCTGGATGAGCTTGCCAGTACTTCCCGTCTTCTTCGCCACTACACCCAAAATATCGACTGTCTAGATACCTCCCTACATAAGTTATCTAGTCGGACCATCTCGCTGCACGGACGGTTGGATACGTTCATCTACACAATGTGTCACGAAATGAAGCACGTACCATTCGCGGTTTACGATGACACTTTTGGGTTTCCTTGCGAAGAGTGTCGTCTTAAGAGCGAAAGGCGCAAATCGGGAGGCAAGAGGGGCCTGCCTGTTGGCGTTTGGCGGCCCAAGATCCTACTCTATGGAGAGGTAAGCCCAGATGCTGAGGAAATCGCGGCGACATGGGAACAAGATGCTTTAGACAATGTGGATGCAGTTGTGTTGGTCGGAACCCGGCTCAAGATACCACATACAAGAAAACTTGCGTATAGTCTGTGTCGGAGCTCCAAGTCACGAGGAGGAACGGTAATATGGATGAATAGGGTCCCCCTAGAGTCGGAACCCACTACGGAGCAGCCTCCGGAAGTATTCGGAATTGATCATGTAACGAGGGGCGCCCAAGTTGAGCAGTCACGGCCGCCCTATCCGCCTCCCACGTAGATACAATTAGTACAAAGTGGTTGCAAGCCTGATAAAAATGACTCTGTTAAAAAAATCTTAGGATAATACCTATTGCACGCGTTACAACAACCTTATGTTTGTGGTGGTGAGCAAGTTGGGGGCATCACGGTGGCTTACTCCCGTTGCCGCTAGAGAAGGAAACCATCTGTACCAGCAACTGGGTTTTAACTGGTGCTCGGTGGCACAGCTTGATAAATAAGCCATAGCGCAACGCCACCAGCATCGATGCTATGCTGCAGTTCTTTTGCATAAGACAGCGACGACTTACCCCCGCCGATGTCTCCTCTGATAGCCATTGCAAATGTACCGTGCGTTACGAGTGCGACTCATCGCTGGGACCTTCACACGGATGACGGCAGCCGGCGTAGCCGGCTTGGGAATGACACGAACACATTAGAACTGAGCTTCGTTGTGAGGCTGTTCCCAATACGTGCAGGAGCCCTGTGGCTGAGGTCATGGCTGAGGTATTGGCTGGGGTACGAAGGAGCTCGTTTTTAGTGTGTCCCCACCCATGTAGGAACTTCACTTTTTTGGCTGCACAGCCATACAAAACAATGAAGCAACAACACAACGCGCTCATTTTTACAGCTGAAAAAGATAAGGTTATTCGATTGTATTAGAGCTATTAATATAGCGATTTTCTAGAGTTGCGCCTCACCCATGGAAGTTGTTGTTGCTCTCATTTTGAATGATCCTACGCACCACCTTAGGAATCCCCATCACCCACCTATTGATTATTTCTTGAGGCAGAGCTTCCCACTCAGCCTCCCATTGTTGTTGACACTGTTGTGGAGTACATGAGGGTGTGAATTGCCTTGTCACATGACGCCGCAGCCATGACCAGGCATGTTCAGATGCGTTCCCATCTGGACTGTGACCTGGCCAAGCCATCTTCTCAATCTTCTGAACTTGTAGGTAGTCATTTGCAATACGAGACTTGTGAGGAGGAGCTCCATCTTCAAGTAAGTAACATGCAACTCCTCGACTTTTGAGGGAGTTAATCCATGGAGCGACCTTCTTAAGAGCTCCTTCGCGGTGGCGATACCCATCCACCCCTCCTCTTGACCTAATACCGCGGTGATAGTCATGTTTCTTGATATGCTCAAGCTTTCTAGTAGATGTACGAAGTTTATATCTACCTCACCAAGCTCCTGGAGGGCTGCGCGGGCCCTTCGTTGGGCATGGTTGGAGGATGTTCGAGTGGCTGCATTCTCCAACTCTAGAAGCTCCTCCGCTACCTCTTTCTCCTCTTGAGTCTCATGAAAGTATAAATGACAAGGTCCTTTAAAGTTGTGTTTAAAAGCCCCAAAGAATTGTATACAACAGTCTCGACGATTGCGGTCGTGGCGTACGTCGTCGTTGTAAATTTCATCATCGCGCGCCCATGTACGGATCATGCCTCTCTCTTCTCCCACTCGAGCTGGTGTTTCGTCAGTAAATACCACGCAGCGGAAGTCAAAGCCAAGTCCATCACCAACCTCGTATCGATCGGGGTTGTGCTCAAGGGCCCATCTCAATCGCTCTTGGCGTTGGGTAGATGAAAGTGGTGGTTTCCAGCCTGGCTTTCTGCGCTTGTAACCAGCTCTATACATGACATTCTCAAATGTAGAAATGCTCAGATTAGGCGCGATAGCATGAAGCTGGCGATGCTTTATTGCCTGCCATGGCTCCTCCTCGCGGTGGTTGCGATCTTGCGTTGTGATGCGGACGATCTCATCCTTCTGTTCCTGGCTCAGAACCTCGGGTCCCCCACGCCCAATGTCATCCTGAAATAGGACTGGGTCCCATAGATCGAAGCCCCCACTCTCTGCCTTGTCCTCTATCCTCTTCATAAGCTTTGATATACCCGAGCGGTCGCGGTGGAGGGCTGCGGCAATAGCGTGGTGGCTGACATTCCCGAGTAATGCTGCACCAGCTATGAATGCACGCGTTTCTGGAGGGATTTCGGTACGAGAAGTTTTAGAAACTCGAAGAGTACGCGTAAGCTTGTATTTGAAAGGCTTTCTGCGGTTTAAACTCATGTTTCCAGAGTATTGTGGTGGGTATGTTGAGATTATTTTACAGGTTTGGGATGGAAGCCGGCATCTCGGTGTTTGGGTGGGGACACACTAAAAACGAGCTCTTTCGTATATGAGCTCAGCTAGAATGCTACAAACAATAGAAGATACACTCTCTCCTAGTTTTTCTGTCCACAATACCCGCACCCAACCGTGCGACAGTCATGAGCCCGGTCAACCTTCCTTCTGCAGCACTATCAGCCTATGCAGACAGTACTATCTCTGTTAACTGCTCATTGCAAGCACGCTGCTGGTTGCAATTGTCGGCGCGATCCCAACAAAAAGTGAGGGGTCGCATCCGCAACCCCGCATCCCTGCGATCGTCAGAACACTCGAGGGTTGAACAACGACAACCACCTTAAGTTAAAAGACGACAAGTATCAAGAAGCAATTAAATACGTGTCTATGATGTCGACGAGGGAACACAATCTACCGATGCTCAACGCTCGCAGCGGTTGGATCGATTGGTACAACTCCATCGAAGACCTTGCTAAGCGGAACGAGGTTTGGAAGTACTGCGATCCGCTAGGCATCGAGAATCTTGTCTTCACATCAACAAAACCATTAGACTCAGCAAGCAAGGACACCATCTAGAAGTTCTAAAGCTTGCAAAGTATCTTCGACTCTGGGAAGAAGAAATACGACAAAGTATCTGATCGCATCGACTACACTGTCTGTCAAGAGTTCAAGCAACACTACCTTGGCAAACATGACGTGAGGAGCAAGCTTGTCGCACTCTCAGAAAGCATTCAGCCGAACGCGAAAGACCAAAGGCAAGACATCCGAACCGAGTTTGAGAAGCTCAGGAAAGGACCTGGTAACACAAGCCTGGACAAGTGGCTTGGCCGATGGCCCTCACTCGTCAACAGTGCCAAACGGTACACGATCGAGAACCTCAGCGAGCCGCAGATATGCGAAGCTTTCGTTGAAGCGTGCCAATATATTAACCCACCATTTTACAACTACATGAAGTCAAAAGACGCGCAATCCGAAAGCCAAGCGTCTGTCATCAGCCAGACGGCAATGGTTATGAAGAGAGTCTCGGATGCACTTATCACAGCGCTGAACACAATCAGCCCAGAACAAGCAAGCAGTGGTTCTACCATAATGAGCGGTTCAAGTGATGCTAACTCTGACGATGCGGTCGACGAAGTCGATGCTCCCGCGGTACAAAGAGCACAGCACACGATTGACAGGACCCTCAGATCCTTCCGTAGGCTGAAGCCAACACTCTCTAATAATAGGATTACGATAAGCTTCTGCATCAAGCAATTTCGGAGCATGGCACCTCCGAGCGATAAAGTGTGTAACGGTTTGGGCCTTGCCCAGATCCACTCTAATACGAGTTGGGATAGCTCATGTACGGTCATCTATATATGTAGCTCACCCCACTTCAGATAGTCAATTCAGCGCAGTCCTCCCCCTCTCTCCACACCATTACATAAAGCAGCAAGAGGTCGCGCAGCTCACGCTACGCTTCAGGGCAGAAAGCACGGTCGTGATCCGAAGACGTCAGATGAGGAGGATGGACAGCCACGGCGGAAGCGAGAGGTGATTGGATCGAGCTCGGTCTCTGCGACCCAGCCGAGCTGTCTTCGAGACTGTGTTTGCGGACAAGCACACAAGTACGCTGATTGTTGGTACCTTAACCCTGCAAAGGCTCCGGCCAAATGGAGACCACAAGTTCACGTACAATCGGAAGTAATCACGGCCATCTCAGGAAGCAATCGCCAGCGCGAGAAGATAGAGAAAAGATATTCTCGCAGCAAGATCGCACTGCCTGATTTCTGGAATAGCAACAACGCAGATGATCAGTCTGAGAAGGCGACAAGCCAAGCCAGTTCTGCCACATTGACAGGTACGCGGCAGACTAGGCCTAGGGCTTCCTTTGCCATTTCTAGACATGCGTTAAGTACCACACGAAAACGCGAAAACGATAGCTACTTTCGTCTCGACAACTGCGCGGATACTCACATTTGCAACGACAAGTCGCGCTTTACCCACTACCGTAGCCTGCAGGAGCTACCCCGCCGCCAAGCTCTACCTAAGCCAAGAATGTGAAGTTGGCGCACGGGCCGAATATTCCTCACTAAAAACGAGCTCCTTCGTACCAGTAACCGATAACCATGCTTTGCCACCCGATCCCGACATTGGGTGATCGCAGCATTCTGTTTGCTGGGAGGCACACATTCTGAAGCCGTTTGCATGCAACAGGACACCCTGCTTCCAGCCGTCAGAACGTAAGCAGAACCCTGTGCTTATGCATCATGATTTAACCACGACGTACTTCTCATGCGGTCACATCAAATCCTATTATAATGTTGTCGCGGTGTGAAAACTTGTAAGGGGCTGCGCAAAGTATGCCGGTGCCTGGTAACAGGATTGTATTCGATGAAGAAGAAAGCTATCTGCAGTGCAACGATATCTATATACGTTTGGCTTGTTGTTCACGTAGCTTCTCGAAGCGTCTAAAGTGCCGAGGAAGCTCCGAAGGTTCCACCGAGGATCACCATAGCATCTGGGCTCTAGCCCGTTACAAAACTGCGCATATGCAGAAGGAATTGAAGGATCGAACTGCGTTTCTATTGTATGTTGCTATGAACAATGTATGTAGTAGGAAAGCGGTGATGTGTAGAGCAACGGTCAGGTGTACTACGTGATACGGCAGTGGAGACATGGAACTGTGATATGTACTTCGTAGGTGAAGCTATGGTGAGTTATCTAGTGGGGACTGTAAATAATGCTAGTCCAAAATAGGTATAGGTCCTTCTCTGGGCATAGTCACATAGTTGTACATACTAACACCGTGACAATTCGTCACTCAACTGGCCCGATTCTACACTGTCCTCATTCTCAATCCGTCTAGAGGCGCCACAGCCAATTCATACTATCTCGCCTCAAGATGTATCCCGAATGCGGGCAATGCGACAGACGATTCAGCAGCTGGGCCGCGGCCCGACAGCACATGAACGCAGTCGGCCACGTATTCGAGTGCGACTTTTGCGATCTTGCCTTCTACGACTCGAGAGACCTTGAAGATCACCAGCAGGACGAAGGACACTACGGTCCCAGGTACGAGTGCGAAGCCTGCGATGAGTGGTATGACACATTTGCCCGCATCAAGCAGCACATGAACAGCCACGGCCACTGGCGCAACCACTACTGTAACGATTGCAACAAGGGTTTCGAGAACGAGAACAACCTGCACATTGTGAGTTTGGACCCCTCAGCCACATGCCGTTTCTGATCCCACGTAGCATCTCAACAGCCGTATCCACCGCGGCTCTAACATCACATGTCCCTTCTGCAAACGCGGCTTCGCAACAGCCACAGGTGTAACGCACCACCTCGAAACCGGCTCGTGCTCAAAAGCTCGCCAGCTCAACCGCGACACCATCCTGGCCGAAGTCCGCCGCCGCGACCCGAACCAACTCATCACAAAGAAGCTCCTGACGTACCCCGACTCCGGTTCGAGCATCACGGCTACTTCTGCATCCTACAATTGCGACACGCGCCTCTACGAATGCTACTTGTGCCACAAGGGCTTCAGGGAACTCAAGAGTCTGAACGCTCACGTCAATTCGCCGGTACATAAGGAGAAGGTGTATCATTGCCCGGGCAGGGCATGTGCTAGGGAGTTCCGGGCGCTTGCGGCGCTGTTCAATCATCTTGAGAGCGAAAGCTGTGGTGCGGTGAGGTTCGATGCTGTGCAGAGGAACGTGTGTGGGTTTCTGAGTGGGAAGAGGATGATTGGGTTTCCCTGAATGCCTGTTGTATTGTCGCTCTTGCGCTTCGATAGAGTTTCCATACATTTTAGCGTTTTCAAGAAGAAGACGACTTCGAGCATGCGCAACGGGTGTTTATTGCTTCGATGTATAATTGTCAGCATCTACGCCTACCTAGGAGTAACGTATTGTATCAGTCATCGGCCAGCCCCAAAACCCACCAAAAAACACGAAAACCGCACCTTCAGATCTCAACAACAGCCTGGTAGAAACATTTGATAATTTAAACATAACCTGTTTTATCAGTGAGCGCCCCACCTCAGTGAGCGCCCCACGAACACCAGCGAAGCGCATGCGCGACACTCAACACGTAATGTCTCAACAACCACAACCTCACAAGCCCTATACTGAAGCTGACGTGCAGCTTGCCCTCTCTGACATTAAATGCGACCAGATTACGAGCCTGCGACGTGCTGAGGCAGTCTACAGCGTTCCTCGTAGGACGATACAACGACGACGCGACGGGAAGCCCTCTAGACGCGACTGCGAGCCCAGATCAAAGCGCCTGACGAAGCTAGAAGAGGAAGTGATTCTGCAGCGTATACTTGACGAGAACCTACGTGGAGTACCGCCCTCAAAGCTACACGTACAAGATATGGCTGATAGACTGCTGCGCGACCGCGGCGGTGAGCCTGTTGGTAAATGCTGGGTTGACAGGTTTATTAAGCGTACACCTGAGCTGCGCACGCGCTGGACTCGTCCATACGATCACCAGCGAGCTCTCTGCGAAGACCCAGCGATCATCGAGCCCTGGTTCACGCTGGTTCAGAACATGAAGGCGAAGTACGGTATTGTGGACGACGACATGTACAACTTTGACGAGTCTGGCTTCCTGATGGGCAAGATATCTTCACAACTTGTTGTGACAGGCATAGAGAAACCTGGGAAAGCGAAGAAGCTTCAGCCTGGTGATCGCGAGTGGACTACGTAAATACAGGGCGTCAGCGCAACAGGGCGTGTTATCCCACCCTTCCTCATCTTTGCCGGCAAGGTTCTTATCTCTAACTGGTTTACTGAGGACCTCCCACGCAACTGGGTTATTCAAGTAAGCCCAACAGGCTGGACGAACAACAATCTAGCGCTCGCCTGGCTTGATCACTTTGATACGCATGCGAGGCCTGTAGGAGCGTATAGGCTGCTGATTATCGACGGCCACGAGAGCCATTGCTCGATAGATTTCCAGGATCGCTGCAAGGAGAAGAAGATTATTGCCCTCTGTATGCCTCCACACTCGTCGCACCTCCTGCAGCCGCTTGACGTCGCCTGTTTCTCGCCATTGAAGCGCGCGTACGGTGATCAGATCTCAGCCTTGGCACGCGATCGCATCAACCACATCAGCAAACAGACCTTCTTACCAGCCTTTGAAGTAGCTTTTGAGAAGGCGTTTACAAGAGAGAATGCTTGCGCAGGGTTTCGAGGCGCTGGATTGTCTCCACATGATCCACAGGCTGTGTTATCGAAGCTGGATGTGCAGCTGCGTACGCAAACTCCACCACAGCAAGTCGACGCCGCTTGGGAGGCGAAAACACCACGCAACGCCAAAGAAATGGAGGCGCAATCAACGCTGGTTCAAAACAGGGTGAAAATCCATCGAGGGTCTCCAGCAAGTTCACTTGATGAGCAGGTGCGGCAGCTGACAAAAGGCGCGCAGCAGATGGCTCATGAGATGGTGTTGATGCGCGCAGAGATAGTGCGCCTTAATACTGCTACTGAAGCAGCAACAAAGCGTAAAAGTCGCAAGAGACGCTACGTACGGGCAGAGGAGACACTAACAGTCGGCGAGGTATTAGACTTAATTGCTGAAAGGGA